TTTTTTTTTTTTTTTTTTTTTTTTTAACTAGTAGTACATATGATGTTACGTCGTCGCGTTATGCGACGTGTTAACAGGCCAACGACCATTTCGACGACTTTTTTTAATGGCCGCTTAATGTCTTCTCGCGTTAGCACGATACGCGGTACGGAGAAATGAGAACAAATAAGATTATTCGACAATGGAATGGATTTAAGTTTCATTCAAGCTTGTCCGTTTACGCTTTTGTTAGACAGGCTGTTGTTTTCTCGTTGTTTCACTCCGAACTGATGCGATGCTTTATGAAATTAATTCGCGAACGAACCGACGAATGTTATCATCGGCGTGGCGTGTCATTGTGTCAAAGGATCTCCATTCAACAACGTTATCGAGCCAACGAGCGTAGCGTGTTCCCCTTTGTTCCCAAAATTTTGTTGGAATAAACTCCGAGGAAATGAATCTTTCAGTCTGTAATGTCGAATTCGAGATTTGGAAAGTATCGTTCGTCGTTTTCTTTCGAAAAAATGATTGACATCTCGCGAAATGTCTTCGAATAATACGATTGCCAAAGTCTGCTATCTTTGTCCGTTGTTACGAATTCTGTCATTTTCTCGATGCATGTGCTTACGTAAGACGGGCACAGTACGAAAAATTCGACAGGGGTGAATCTATTTCGGAACGATGACGACGTAGCGAACTACCTGAAACCATCTATCTCCGTCAGGAACGGTGATTTACATACAACAAGGCACCGCAATGATTGCCTTCAGAATACATTAGCTCACATGCTCTGGATACAAGGGAACAAGCAAACAAAGCACAACCGAACTCGGACAACCTGTACCAGCACCGAAGACACAATCGAATTCAAATCGTCGCCGGGGCTCAATTGAAAACAGCACAACGCTTTCAGCGTCGGTTTCTCGCGCGATGTTTTACTATAAAGCGGCATCGCGCACGCACGCACGGATAAATTTCCTCTTTGAACTTGTAGCTGTTGACTCAGTCGAGCAACAATTCGTTGAAATCGAAATTTATCTTGCCCGTGGCCGTGTCGTAACGTTGGCGTTTTCATTTGACCAATGAAATCGTGGCGATCTACCTTGCAAATATAATTCTCGTTCTACGTGGCGTTGCAACGCAACACGTTGCCGCGCAGAGAGGTATATGTGCACGCGTGACTAAGTTCCCGCGGCCGTAGATTAAGTAGCGAACAAGCCTGGCCGGCCTATCGCGGTCTCTCCCCTATTAGAATTACTTTCAAGCACCCATTGTGATCTGCTCGTTTCCATAGATCGCCGGCACAAAAGAAATATAGCGTAGGACAGGGCGATAGCGCCTCGGGCTATTGCCACACACGTGGCTCTGATAACCTCCACGATCTTCTACGGAGCAAAGACGCTGTAATTGCATGGGTTCCGCATTTTTCCACCCACATACAGAGAGAGACCCCCGGCTCCTCTATCTCCGTCCCTTCTCAACCCTTGAGCTTCCTGCTTCCACACTCACTGTCCTGTAACGCACTCTCCTCTCGAACGTCCGTTCGCCATTGCTATTGCGCCTAGTACATACTACTTATCAGTATCAGCTTCGGGCGTCTGACCCAGCCAACGATCTACTTGCGGCTCATTCATTCTTCCTCCATGCGGTTCGTTCGTTCGTTCCTTTCGGAATATCGCGATCTTTCTGACCCGCGTTTCGCAGTCTCGTCGTTTCCCACTCGGCGGAATCCGTGCGTCGATCGACAGTATTTTGTTTCGTAATTACCAGACCTATTGCCGGGCAATTGAATTCACCTGTGATCTGAAAGCTTTATAAATATTCCTTGGATCGCGATCGTTCAAAATCTACAATCCAAAAAAAAAAAAAAAAAAAAAAACGTGAAGGAAGCGTGTAGGGAACGTGTAAAATTCAGTCGAACTGTTTCGCACTACGTCGATTTACAGCGTTTGATAAATTAAACCACTACAGCCGATGGGGATAGTGGAGGTTCGCGTCTTCTTGCGAGATTCACGAAGCGATATTAACGATAAAGCCGTTGGTGAAATTTACGAGTCACGAAAAGTATAAAACAGCGTGTCACTATAATACCGGTGGCATTATGGCTGATAAAACGGCACCGTCAACCAGGTGCCAGGCCGAATCGTGAGCGAATCGTGGTAATCGAAGCAATTTCGTCTAAACGGATACAAATAGTACGGTGGTAATGCAGTGACACGGTTGTGTCCTGGCCGCTTTGTACCTTCATCATTTAATGGACGTCGAAGTCGGTGGTGCACAGGTAACGGGTGTTTTACGGTAATACTATACCGAGGCGGCGTTCTGCTCGAATCGGTGAAAATATCGTCTGATTGCTCTCAAACGACTTTTCATTGTACCTTCTCCGAAGGAAAGGCAAGAAAGGAAAGGTGACTCGAGTGACGATGAAAGTATATACATGGTAACTAAATATTCAAATTGCTCGAAATGACTCGAACCTTCGGCAAATCTCACGAAGCTGTATACCAGATCTTTGGTTATCTTGGAGAATCGAAAAGTGGAGAATCACACGCAAAAAGGGTATGAGCAGAGTGAAGACAAAAAGGAGGCTGCTCAAAGCGTTCTTTCTCAAACTGGCATTCATTGTAAGAGAGGAAAGAAGAAAGAGCATTTTGCAAAAGATGTTGCTATTCAAGTGACGATGAAACTACGTAGTTACTTAAATGACTCGAACCTTCGGCAAATCTCACGAAGCTGTATTAAGTCTCTGGTTATCTCGGAGAATCGAAAATTGGAGACTCACACGCAATGAAGAATATGAGCACAGAGTGAAGACAAAATGGAGGCTGCTCAAAGCGAAACTCGTTCTTTCTCAAACTGGCGTTCATTGTACCTTCTTTGAAAGAGAGGAAAGAAGAAAGAGCATTTTGCAAAAAATGTCGCTATTCAAGTGACGATGAAAAAACGTAGTTACTTAAATATCGAAATTACTCGAACCTTCGACTACTCTCACGAAGCCGTATTCGGTCTCTGGTTATCTCGGATAATCGAAAATTGGAGACTCACACGCAATAAAGGATGAAGGCGAAAAGGGAGCACTTCCTTCTTTCTGGAACTGGTGTTAAAAGTCAAGTAGTCTGTGATCCAAGTTTCTGAGAATCGTTCGAAAGAGACAAGAACAACAGGCGCGCGCACTCCGGGGGAATTTCCATAATTAGTGGGTGGCAAAGGTACAACTATTAGCAGACGGAAGTTGGCAAGTTGCTAACTGATTTGCATTGAAACGCCGGGCACATCGTATCAACATGAGGTCCGTCCTACTTTCGTTATTACTTCATCAGAGTATGCTTTCTTTGGCTGCGTCCGATGCACGGGAAGTTAATCCGTGTCAAGAGAACGCGTTTTCGCGGAACAACCGTGCGCCGCCGCCGCTACTGCTGAAGGACACGCGTGATCGTCCGATTTATGGAGCAATTTGCAAGACCGGGGAAGGAGATCAAAAGTAACGATCGATATATAAATTCGTGTCTTGTCGAATATATCCTTTATTGGGACGCTATATTCATTTCCCGGAATTTATACGGACTAATTTAGTTCAGTTAACGACTTCAAAGTACGAGAAATCGCCGGCGAACGGGGACGTATGGCCGACTTATCAGCCTCACGCCATGCTATCTTCTTAACGGCGTTTCGATCGTAAAAATCTTTGTATTTAATGAAGCTCGTCCAATATTTCGGCGATAACGGTGTCCATTTGGAGTGTTTTATGTCGACTTTTACGGAGTTAACGCGATGAAATTGTCAATTATGAATTTGGAGGAGGAAGGTAGACGAAAGAAATAGATCTCTAAAGGTTAATTTTAAAGATTCCAAAGGACGTAAAAGAAAGAAAAGAATTTTATCAGATTCGAGAATGCCGTGGCACCGTGAAAACATTTTTGGTATCGTTTTACAATTTGAAAACGAATTGGGCGGTTTGAAAATCTGCATGGTTATTGGTCGATCGCATCGCTCGCTGTTACACTGTCTTTCATTTGACAGTCGGCTACTTACCGCGTTTATGCAATATGATTTACGATAGGAACGTTCAAGGAAATTATGGCATCTTGAGTTTCCATAATGTCGAGATTTGCCGCTCCTGGAGCTACCTAATCCAGCTGCATGCAAGAAGATCCTCTTATCTTGAGGACACGTTCCCTCGCCGAGTAAGACGATTATCTTCGAAACCTCGCGTGAAGCGGATA